GCAGGGTATAAATCCAATCTCTTCTTCTTCTGTGCCTTTTATTTTCACCACATGGCATTTCTACAACTGAATGACGACAGTCTGTCTACACCAGGGGAGGGGGAGGGAGAGGGGGAAGATACCCCTTCTACAACTTGGTTAATTTGGCTTCTATTGGTCTTTGCCCTGGTACGCCACATGAAACTGACTTCCAGCTTTGCTAATATAGACACACAGCCACAGCAGAAGCAGCTTCCATTGCAAAAGACACAGTACTTGGGGAAAAAATATGCTGTTCCTGGTAGCATCCCCATCCCTAGCCATCCATGACATCACGGCAGGTCAGCCAATGAGTACAAGAGGCATGCAGGCAGGCAGTCGGCAAGGAAGAGACAAGCTTTAATCCCTTTCGGGGCAATTTCAGAAACATATAACTGCTACCATTGTCCACAGACCCAAATCCACAGATCCGGAAAAGGGACAATTCAGTTCAAAAGAGCACTATAGCTGGAGATGGAATGACTTCAGGAATCCATTAAGACATGCCCTGCCGGGTAAGTCTTACCTGAAACATTTGCGCTTCCCTCGGCGCACTGCTTGGCTTCCGTGAAACATTGTTTCTTTGCAGCTCCTGGCAATTCCTTGCTTGTCTTGGGTAGATTTACAAACGTGTCTTCTGACGACCCCTCAATCTGAAGGGAGGGGGGGACAATTAAAAATGAAATCAGAGGGCAGGCAAAGAACTGGGTTGACAGAGTGGGGGAGAGTCAGAGCAAACTCCAAAATACACAGTAGTACAAATTCAGTTCTATTGGCTGGCCAGACTTCTACAGTCTAATCCGATTTTGTTTACTGAATGTGCCATCCTGGGGAATCCGCTTGGAGTCCAGCGAGAAAGGCAGACGATAAATAACGGAAATCAATAAATATCTCAATCTGCAGAACAATTTGGAAACTGGGGAGGGGCTGTGGCTCAGGGGTAGAGCATCTGCTTGGCATGCAGAAAGCCTCAGGTGCAATACGCGACATCTCCAGGTAAAAGGACCAGGCAGTAGGTGACGGGAAAGACCTCTCTCCGCCTGAGACCCTGGAGAGCCGCTGCTGGTCAGAGCAGGTGATAACTGACTCTGATGGACCAATGGTGTGATTCCGTATAAGGCAGTTTCACATGTAACTTTAACCACCTTGTGGGTTATTTATTTGGCAGGAACTGGATTAACAAGGAGTTTTTCACAAGCGTATCAGCCCATTGTGTTGGAGGGGATGTGGCCCAGTTGGCCTATTCCGACATTGCTGGTGGGATTGGCCAGTCATCCAGGGATTATGGCAAGATGTTTTAGCTAGGATTGGTAGAATGGTAGGTCAGGTCGTCTCTCCTACCTTAGATCTAGTCCTACTGGAACTGTGGTCCAACTGCATACCGAGAAAGGGGGGGAAAGGCTACGATTTCTACCCTACTGGTGGTGGCAAGGCTAGCCGTTGCTTCCAAATAGAAAGTCCAGGAAGCACCAACTATATGGTTCAATAAACTATGTACACAATTTTATAAACCTCGAACATTCCCCCCCCCCTGCCCCCAGTTGTCTCTTTTCTATACTGAAAAGTCCCAGACTCTTCAGCCTTTCCGCATAGGGAAGGTGCTCCAACCCCCTTTGTTGCCCTCCTCTGTACTTTTGGAGATACGGTGACCAGAAGGGTACGAAGTATTCCAAATGAGGCCGCACCACAGAGCTACACAGGGGCATTTCAATTCACGGCCGTTTTATTCTGAATGATTTCTTGTTTTGGTGTGTGTTTCTTTAAATGTTTAGTTTGACTGCAGTAATGTAAGGAGAGTGATAGAGGGAGATAAGAAGTGTGATGTGATTGGCTGAAGACTGAGAGTGTGGGAGGAGAGATGTCTTTGAGGTGATTCTATGTCCTTGAAGAGAAGACTGTGGAGAGTTTTTGTGAGAGTCTGTATGACAGAGGAAGCAGGTGGAGTTTAGTTAAGCCTGTGTGGCTATGCGAGAGTAGCCTGCATGGCTATATGAGCAAGAGAGTAGCCTGTGTGGCTATATATGAGAGAGAGATAAGCCTGTCAGAGTTGAGTTTTGGTGTATGAGAGACTGTGTGCCACCAAGCTTTGTCAGTTATATTTTCTTTCTTCAACAACAGTTCAAAAAACACCCAGAAAACTATTTTGTTCTTTTATAAATAAATCATTGTTTGTTTAAACTTATCCCAGCAATCAGAACAGTCCTTTCTCAGGGCCACAGTCCTGTGAAGCGCCCAGACACTGGGTCATTCTACCGAAATAGAGAGATTTGGAATTTTTAATTCCTGGTGGCAGCAGAAATCTACTAAGTTCATGTACACAGAGTGAGTTTTAAAGGAGAAACAGTCTCCCCGATAAGTAGTGCTCTTTTTGTAGCAGGAACTCCTTTGCATATTAGGCCACACACCCCTAATGTAGCCAATCCTCCAAGAGCTTACAGAGCTCTTCTTACAGGGGCTAAGCTCTTGGAGGATTAGCTACTTTAGGGGTGTGTCGCTTAATATGCAAATGAGTACCTGCTACAAAAAGAGCCCACCGTCACGCCATAGTAGGTGTGTTGGTCTGAAGCAGCAGAACAAGGTTAGAGTCCAGTGGCACCTTTAAGACCAGCAAACAATAAAATGTCATTGGTATTAAAGGTGCCACTGGACTCGAACTCTGTCCTGATATTATACTTCAATTTATTGTGGTTTTGTTTGCTTCACCAGGTAGGTGAGCCCTCACTTCTTGTGAGATAATCTCACTTTTTTGGTGGTGTGTGTGTGTGTCTTGTTCTCACCTGCCGTTCCCATCCCTTGGCACCTTGCTGTGCCTGAAGGAACTCCTCTGCCAGGGTCACCGCTTGGGTGCAGTTCTCTGGATCGCTCTCCCTGACCCAGCATTGCATCTCCGGGGGCAGGACGGCCAAGAACTGCTCGAGGGTCAGGAGATCCAGGATCTGCTCCTTGGTGTGTCTCTCGGGCCTCAGCCACTGACTGCAAAGTTCCCGCAGCTGCCTGCACGTCTCTCGAGGGCCCTCAGCTTCCTGGTAACATCGTTTCCTGAAGCGCTGGCGCCGCACCTCCGCCCCGACGGTATCTCCACTTTGGACTCTTTCCTTCTCCTTCCCACAGCACGCGGCCTCGTGGTCCTGCTTCAGTTCTCCAATAGGAACTGGCTGGGGCTGGGAAGCCCACAATCCACCAGGCCAGTTGGTGGCCTCCGTCACGCCCTCGGAAGGCACTGGAGGTGGTCTGCAGTCATTCCACTGCCTCGGTTCAGGCAGTTGTGAGCCGTCCCCTCGAGAACAAGGAGCCTGAAGTGTCTTGAGAAATTCCTGCAACTGGGCATCCCAGTTTCGGGATGGCTCCTCTGGCTCTTGCTTCACAAGCTGTGGAGGTTCCCCCAACAGAACTTCGACAGTCCTCCCCACTGCGAGGCCATCTGCTTCTTCCATTTCTGGTTTGGAGCCGGCTGACTCTTGTTCCTCTGTTTTGATGCGATTCCCCGGCTTTAGCGATTCTTGAGCCATCGTTGCCTCTTGTGCCGTGGCCATTTCCTTCCCCCCAAGAGGCAGTTCCACCCCCACCGGTGCACAGACACATGCGCACCCTGGATCACCAACCCTCGTGGAAATCCTTGGCTCTCTCACAGTACCCCCGAAGTTCCATCAGGACGACAGACAAACAAGATGTCGATGTGTCGGGGCTTTCCAACGAACGGTGGGACCTGATGATCCTTCCACATAACATTACCCTCTTCTGCAGCCAAGGAAAGAAAACAGAGACAAAAGAAAACCATAATAGAGAAATAGTTTATTGGTGTGAAGCCTCAAAATTCTGGTAAACCCCAAGATCTAATAATGTGTCATGATGCAGCAATGGCTACCCGCTTAGATGGGAGTTAAAAGGGCATTAGATAAATTCATTAGATAGCACATGCAGACTTCATAGCTAATTTCATAGCTAATGGAACCTCCAGTTTCAGAGGCAGTGTACCCTTGAGCATCAGTTGTTGGGAAATAGCAGCAGGGGAGGGATGATCCCTTTCATGTCCTGCTGGACACTTCCTGGAGGCACCTAGGTGATCACTGTGGGAAACAGGATCCTGGACTAGATCACAGATGCAATCCAGCGCAGCCCTTCTTAACCTTTTGATGATTGCCATTATTGTATTCAGAATCTCTACAAATGCTAAAGAGCATTATTGAGTATGCACGTTTAAGGCTGCAGCAAACAGCTTGCAGTCTGCATCTCTTTATCAATTTAATGGGCAAAACCAGAAAGAACGTGTCATTAACAGGTGGAATACACTGCTGCAGGAAGTGGCGGTGGCTACAAGTATAGACGGCTTCAAAGGGGAACTGGATAAACATATGGAGCAGAGGTCCATGTGTGGCTATTAGCCACAAGGTATAGAGGGAACTATGTCTGAGGTAGTCCTGCTCTGTATTCTTGGTGCTCAGGGGGGCCACACTGGGAGGGCTTCTGGAATTCTGGCCTCCACTGGTGTACCTTCTGATGACACCTGGGTTTTGGCCACTACCTGACACAGAGAGTTGGACTGGATGGCCTGATCCAACATGACTTCTCTTGGGTTCTTATGAATTTGAGACACAAATATGATATTTGGGTCTCAAATGGGCAACATCAGAAAGAAACTGAGATACAAATACCTATCTATCTGGAAATAGCAAATCAAGTGACACAGAACCCAGAAGCTTGCAATTTTAACAGGAACCTACCCTTGTTAAAGAGCATAGCAAGAGTCTAATAGCGCCTTAAAGACTAACCAAATGTTTGGCAGGGTAGGAGCTTTCGTGAGTCACGGCTCACTTCTTAAGACCCCCCCCCCCCCCCAGCTCCTACCCTGCCGCAAACCTGGTTAGTCTTTAAGGTGCTCCTGGACTCCTGCTCTTTTCTACAGCAACAGAAAGACTAATACGGCTACCCATCTTGGTCGACGTTAAAGAGAGCAGCTGGACCTCCTATCAGAATCTGCGGTAATGAGAATAAAAGCCAACCGGCTACATGCGCAGTTTCTTCCCGCCTTCCGAGTGCGCTTTTCACGCACCTGCCCTCTGCCTCACCTGCCGGCAAAGCCCGGCAACGAGAACCGCCTCTCCCGCTGCAAAATGCAAAATAACTATGCAAACAGCTGCCTAGCTCAAAAGGACAGGAAGGAACCTTTATTTTCTTTTCCTTCCCACGCGGCCGCTCTGGGACGCAACACTCGGTTGCTTCAACCCCTTCATAGCCATCGAGCATCAAGTGGTCTGACTGCAGAGGGTTAGGTGGGGTTCACTCTGTTGCAGCAAACCAAAAGACAGAGGAGCGTTGTGGCGCCCTGAAAACTCACCGCTTTTAAATTCAAGCGTGAGGGGCTCTCGGCTTTGAAAGAGGTTCAGAGTGAACAGACATCTGTCATCAGGAGAAAGGGAAGCCGGCAACTGCACTCTGCCACGTTAAGCCAGAACAAAAGCTTGTTTGGCTTCAGAGTGTTACAACGAAAGCATTCTAGTATATAAATTAATATGTGGGTGTTAAATACTGGGTTCAAGACGCATTGCAGTGAAACAGCTTTACTTTATTAAGGGATTTCAGGAACAAGGCTAAAGCGCCAGGGCAATAGCCCTGTTTAAATAGCATGCAAAAACCACACCCAAACATAGCCCACTCCCAAGGATAGTCTATGAACTGCAGGCTGTGGAAGGTCAGTAGTTCAAGACCCGGGTGCTGTGCATGACGGAGTGAGCTCCCGGCTCCAGCTCCAGCTCCTGCCAACCTAGCAGTTCAAAAGCAAGAAATTGCAAGTAGATGAATAGGTCCCATTTCGGTGGGAAGGTAACAGCGTTCCCTGTGCCTTGGTGTTTAGTCATGCCGGCCACATGACCACAGAAACGTCTTCGGACAGTGCTGGCTCTTCGGCTTTGAAACGGAGATGAGCACCGCAACCCTAGAGTCGGACTCGACTGGCTTTCGAGCAAGGGAACCTTTACCTTTACTTTACTTCCTCACTGGTCACCTCTAGAGTCCTGGTGGGCTATTGTTCTGGATCTCCAAGCTCAGCCAGTTTCTGGTAGACAGTCCTGGAATGTTCCAGCCCTAATACATAACAGTGGGTACAGCTTTGTTGTAGGGACAGTTTATGAAACACTTTATATTCTGCCACTGACTAACAGGTTTAACTTGGTGGGTGCACTTAGCCCTTCCATGATGCATACGTTAAGTGCCATTTATGATTCTAACATCGTGAATGTATTCAGGTATTAACTTCGGTTCATTTGTGACCCCTGGTTGGTCTTAGAGGTGCCCCCCTGGACTCAAACTTTGTTCATGGAGACACACGTCTCTGCAGGTCTCTCCTGTAGAAACAGTGCCCTCATACTCACATACATGTGATGCCGGATTACTTGGCCATTTATGATAGGGAAAGCGCTCTTTAGATTAGGCGCCTTTCTCTCCTTTCTTTTTTTTGGTAAACAAATTTTATTTTCTCAGGAATACAACATGTAAAATTAAATCATTTCATTCTATCAATTGTCTACCCCATTCCCAATTCCTCCCCTCCCTCCGGTGGCTTCCCGCAATGCTTCCACCCCTGTTCCAAATACTTCGTATCATCAACTATATCAATTTCTTATCATTACAATCTAAAGATAACATCATTTAACTTAATATTGATCTAAACATATTAAGTTTTGTTTCACATCCCAGTTCTTTTCCAGATATATTTTAAAGTCACTCCATTCTTGAAAAAACACGTCGTCTTCTTTGTTGTTCAATTTCTTCGTAATTTTGTCCATCTCTGCCATGAACAGAACTTTTTGTATCCAGTCCTCAATTTCTGGTACTTTCTCTGTTTTCCAAAATTGTGCATAAATCATTCTCGCTGTTGTGATTAAGTACCAGAATAAAGTCTTTTTAGTTGTATTGACTTCTTCCATTTTCAATCCTAAAAGCAGAATTTCCGGTGCCTTTTTAAAAGAGCATTTCAAAATTTTTTGCATTTCATTGTGGACTTTTGTCCAAAAGTCAACTGCTTTCTCACAAGTCCACCACATGTGGTAAAATGAGCCTTCATGGCTTTTACATTTCCAACACTTATTTGACATATTCTGGTTCATATTTGCAATTTTTTTCGGAGTCATGTACCACCTATACATCATTTTATAACAATTCTCTCTAACATTGGTACAAGGCGATATCTTAATAGAATTTTTCCACAAATATTCCCAGGTTTCAATAGCCACTTCCGTATTCATATTTATCGCCCATTTTATCATTTGCCCTTTTACAGTCTCATCTTCAGTATACCATTTTAGTAACACTTTATACATTTTAGAGATATTTTTTCCCCCTTCACTCTCCCAAATCATTTCAATCTCATTTTTTTCCTCTCTAAAACCATAGTTTCTTTTGTCTGATCTAAAAAGGTCAAAAATCTGCATATATTTCAGCCATTCATAATCATATTCAATTTCATTCTGCTTTTTCATTACCCATTCTGTTCCCACTTTTTTAATTAGATCTTTATATGGCAACCAATCTTTATCTCTATGTCTTGAGTAAGATGTTAACACTTCCACTGGTACAATCCACAATGGTCTTACATCACAAAAGTATTTTTTATACCTCATCCATACCACAAATAGTGCTTTTCTTACCACATGAAGCTTAAAAAAGCTATCCATTTTTGTTTTGTCATACCATAAATATGCATGCCAACCAAATCTACAATCATGGCCTTCTAACCCCAGTAACTTATCATTTTCTAATTTCACCCATTGTTCCATCCAGGTTAGACAGACCGCTTCATAATATAGTCTAAGATTTGGTAGTTGTAGCCCACCTCTGTCTTTGGCATCACAAAGAATTTTCATCTTGATTCGCGGTTTCTTGCCTGCCCAAACAAACTTTGATAGTTCTTGTTGCCACTTAAGTAGCAAATCTGTCTTACTAAGTATTGGTATTGTTTGGAACAGGAACATCAAACGTGGTAGGACATTCATTTTTATAACTGATATTCTTCCCATCAGTGACAAGTTCATTTTGTCCCATTTCTTAAAGTCTTGAGTTAACTTGGTCCATAATTTTTCATAGTTATTCTTATATAAGTCTATATTTCTTGCAGTTAACTCAATACCAAGATATTTCGTCTTTTTTACTACTTCACATTGTACCAGGTCTTGCAGTTCCATTTGTTTTTGTTTCGTCATATTTTTACAAATAAGCTTCGTTTTATTCTTATTCACATAAAATCCGGCCAATTCTCCAAAGTCCTTTATTTTTTGGAATAGTAACGGTAACTTTTCTGTCGGGTTTTGCACAATAAACATTACATCATCGGCAAATGCTCGATATTTATATTTAAGTCCTTTGTGTGTCAATCCCGTTATCTCTTGATCTTGCTGTATTTTTTGTAGAAGTATCTCCAACACCCAGATGAATAATAACGGTGATAGGGGACAACCCTGCCTAGTACCTTTCTGTACCTTGAAGCTATCAGTCAATTCTTTATTTACATTCAATTTAGCTCTTTGTTCAGAATAGATAGCTTCAATACAATTTCTAAAATGTTGTCCCACTTCTATTTTTTCCATCATCTGTAGCATAAACTTCCAATTGAGATTGTCAAATGCCTTTTCAGCATCGACAAATAAAAAAGCTACTTCTTGTTCAGGGTGTTTCTCATAATATTCAATTGCGTCCATTACTATTCTTACATTGTCTCGAATCTGTCTTTTTGGTAAAAAACCAGCTTGGTCTTCTGAGATCGCGCCTTTCTCTCCTTTCGACTGCAGCCTGAATGCCAGCTGGATCTACTTGAATAAATGTAAGCTTACTCTAGTTTTTTCCAATATACTTATTGGGAGATGTATTTACTGCACTCAGTATCATGCTTCTACGACTGGGCAAAACTCTGCTATATTAACCAAATATCCCAATAATTATACCCCATTGAAGTCCCTCCTCCCCAAACCCCACCCTCCCCAAACCCCAATATCTCCAGGTGTTACCCAACCTGGAGCTGGCAACCCTAAGAGAGAGAGGAAAAGCAGAAATGTTAATGTGGCGTGACAAAACCCCAACCAACCATCTCCCCCGGTGAGAATTAGACACACTATTCCCCTTGTTGATGGGGAACAAAAAGCCAGCTGAGAAGAAAAATTTCCCCACTCTGTAGCCTCTTCTGAGGTAAAAAAAAGAAAAGAAAAAGCTGGCAATTTCACAAGGCATCTCTGGTCGCTTTTCCTCCCTCCCTCTCAGCTTCAGCTCCTGAGTGACTTTTGAAAAATACATACAGGATGCTGATGCTGATGGAAGGGTTAAACAAATAGAGCTGTGGTGCCCAGAGAGGCCTATGAATTGTAGAAGGGCCGGTGTCAACGCTCTGGCTTTGTGTCCCTCCTCCCCTTCCCCTCTTTTAGAAAACTGTCCCTTTTCTGGATTTCCCCGTTTTGGAAGATCTGGAGCCTGTTCCCGGGAGTGCGATGGAAAGACCCCAAGGAGGAGGTGAGGTTCAAGGCCTGGAAGCAGAAAATCTGCAAGGGAGGAAGGAGATTTATGGGATGTCACTGCTGGGAGGGTGTGTGTCCATGGGAAAGGTGTATATCTAGCACCTTCAGAGCGGCAGCTACGGGGTGGGGTGGGGTGTGTCAGCCCTAAAATGACAGTCCGTGAAAAAACATAACCCAAAGTAATATACAAGGGTTGCCCTCTGATGAGCCAGCCCTTCACTCCTGTGCCCTTGGCATCAGCTTGTGAATAAATGCCGCCTGCTGATTTTCTATAAAGCATGGGTACCAAGAGCAAGCTAGGATGGTACCCCCTCCCTGCCCAAGTTGGCACCCTTGGGATTCTGCCACTGATTGTTCACAAACAAGAAAAACCTGATCCACTCCCAATGCGAACCACATTGGCTGTTTGAATTGGGTCAGCCCACTGGAGCAGGCGAAGAGGGGCTTGGGGCGTCGCATGCCGAAGGTCTCGGATTCGGTCCTTCACATTTCCTGCTATAGCGGTGGTTGGAAAGGCCCTTCGCAGCCTGTAAGGCCCTGGAGAGCCACGAAGGACAAGACAGGACAAGACTGAGGGTCTTACTTGGCAGAAGCTGCTGGCCATGGCTAGTAAGCCACGTGGCCCTTCTCAAATCCCAGTTCATCCCAGTGACAGCTTGGGAGAACACAAGAACCGCCCTTCTGGATCAGACCAGGGGTCCATCTAGGCCAGCATCCCGTCCCACACAGTGGCCAACCAGTTTCTCTGGACAGCCAACAACAGGACATGGAGGCTGAGGACTTCCCCTGAGGTTGCCTCCCGGCTCTGGGAGTCAGAGGATTAGTGCCTCTGAATGTGGAGGCTCCCCTCAGTCACCGCCCCACCTACCTCACAGGGTGTCTGTTGTGGGGAGGGGAAGGGAAAGGAGTTTGTAAGCTGCTCTGGGAGACTCCTTTGGGTAGTGAAGACCGGGGTATAAATCCAATCTCCTCCTCCTCCTCCTCTTCTTTGCGCAGACTCTGGGTGAACCGGGTTTGATTCCCCATGCCTCCACTTGCAGCTGCTGTGGAGGCATGGGGAATCAAACCCGGTTCACCCAGAGATCTACAGGGGTGCCAGTCACTCTTGCTTTTTAGTGTATTTGAATAGCCGTTTCTGAACAAAATCAGCACATTTTTGTGGCTATTCAGAAACTTGGGCATCTATCAGTTCTATATCTGAGAAGCTCGGGGACGACGTACATTTTATCCTCACTTATTTACTTCACTTATACCCAGTTTTCTCCCCAATGGGAATCATGGTCTGGCCTACCTTATAAAACTGTTGTGAGGATGAATGAGGGGATGTATATGAAGTGCTTTATAAATGCTGAGTATTACGATCATAGCTAAAAGAGAGGAAGTGAGTCTTTGACCCAGGAATGTCTGTTATGGATTTCTGCTTTTTTTCATGGCTGTCCGGGGATTGTTGGCTTGTGTCCAATGGTGCATATCCATGGACAGAAAGATTTCTACAGTTGGAGTGTGACCTGTTTTTGCCTCCTTCTTCTAGCTACAGCCCAAAATGCCCCTAAGCTACTGCTCCATGGGGACATGGACCCCCACACACATCTTTTGGGTAGTGTTTTAAGCTGGTGCTAGAGGGAGAAGACGAGAAAATCAGGCTCCGCGGGTGGAAATCCTTTGTAAAAATTCCTTTATATCCAACCAGTGTTCCCTCTAAGCTTAGTTGGTGTGAGCTAGCTCACAATTTCTTAGCCTCCGGCTCACACATTTTTTGTCTCTGCTCAGGAAGGAGGGCTCCAGAGCAAACTAATTGATGCAGTCACCAAATTGCTTGCTCACAACTTTAATGCCGATAGCTCACAAAGTAGAAGGTTTGCTCACAAGACTCCAAATCTTAGAGGGATCATTGTATCCAACTCTGAAGCTGGATCTCTACAGTTCTTGTCTCAACCACTACAACACCACACTGGCTCTCACCTGTGGGTTATGCTGGTCGCTTTTAGAAGCTTTCAAAAATTGTGAGCAGGGTTTATTTCTCCACGTGGTGAGGTTTTTGGGCATTGTATTTTGTTTTGTTTTGTTTTATCACTAGAGCAAAAAACCACACCAGGAATCAAGGTGGAAAAGCAGGATCGAGAAGAAGATGAATCAGAGGAGGGACCGGAGAGAACCCTTCGTATCATCCAGGTTGAGGCAAGCAGAGGACTTCTGGCCGAAGCCACCACGCATGAAGTTAAACAAGAGCCTCAGGAAGAGTTGCATCACTTCTGGGAAGCCCGAGGACAGGAGCCACCGAAGGACACGGAGATTCCTCAGCGAGGGTGGGAAAGCAGCCCACAGCCGCCTCAGTCCCAGTCTGAGAAGAACGCCAAGGTGTTGAAGTTCTCCTTCAAAGGGTCAGGTGATGGTGAACGATGGCCTTGTGAGGAGTGGGGGACTCCAGTGCCATCCCTCCAGACTGACAGAAGCCAGGATCTATCTGGAAACGTCGCACCGATCGAGACTCCAGTTGACGACACTGTTAGATCAGAGATCTGGCGCCGGCGCTTCAGGTATTTCTGCTACTGGGAGGCCGAGGGACCTCGAGAGGTCTTCAGCCAACTTTGGGAGCTGTGCCGTCAATGGCTGAAGCCTGAGAGACACACCAAGGAGGAGATCTTGGAGCTGCTGATCCTGGAGCAGTTCCTGACCGTCCTGCCAGAGGAAATGCAGAGTTGGGTCAGGAAACGCAGGCCATGGACCTGCAGCCAGGCTGTGACCCTAGCAGAAGATTTTCTGTTGATGTTGAAGGAGTCTGAGAGCCACAAAGAGCAGGTAAGGGGAGCATTTCATCTTGGTTGTCACAACTGGTTCAGAAGGCGGAGCGGATGCTCCTGTGTTTCCTCAGAAACAGAACTGTTTGGGGATGAAATTTGGCACAGATTCCTATTTCAGAATCTCATCATAAATGGGATTGTGGGCAACAGGACAGGACTATGGTATAGGGGTACATCTTCTGTGCTCAAAGCAGGTGTTACCCAGGTTTGAATCCTTGGCATCTGCAGGATCTCTGGTGCTGGGGAAGACCTTTCTGTGCCTGAAATCCTGAGCAGTTGCTGCCAAAAAGAAAACCCAGGAAGCTGCCTTAGACTGAGCCAGACCAGTCCCGTAGCCAGGATGTTGTGGCTTGTGGGGCAATTTTTTTTCTGGTGGGGCTGAAGTTCTCCGTGCAGAAAAAAAAGCTATTGAGCCAATAGAAAGCTGATACCAGGATAGATCTCTAAACTGCAAACTGTCACCCGCTTTAGATGACAGTTCTCAGCTGCTGCAAGTTAATAACTTCTGCCAGCCTAAGCAACCATTCCGATAACAGGCTGGCAGGTGGTGCTGATGACTTCTATAGTCAGGAAAGCTAACACTTAGGCAGAAAAACTCTCTTAAAGGTAACCAGTTTCTTGACACAGACTTAGAAGGGATCCTAGAGGTCACCTACTCCAACCGCCCTGCACAGCGCGGGAATTAGTAAACTACAGCACCCCACTCTGCTTATAGGAGCGCACACCTTTAAAAAAAATTGTTTTAAAATGATTGAAAAAAGCATTTACAGGAGAAATTCTTGTGGGGCTGTGCCTTTAAGAAAGGGGCGGAGCTTCCCAAAGTCCCACTGTAGCTGTGGGACTGAATCAGACATTGGTCCACTGAGGTTGACATTGTCTACTCAGACTGGCAGCAGCTCTCCAGTGTCACAGGCACCTACTGCCTGGTCCTTTTAAGTGAAGATGCCAGGAATTGGACAATGTTCCTTTGTTTTATTGTTTTCCGTGTGAACTGCCTTGAGCAGGTTTGTCTTTATTGATCTTTATTTTCCTTCGACTTCTAGCCCTCCCTCCCCCACAAGTGGGCTCAGGGTGGGTTATGACGATACAATAAATAACATCACCCAATATTTTAAAATAATATAACAATTAATTAAAACCCAGGAACAACAACATCAATTAATATACCAGCAGCGACCACCAATGGCACCGTTTGGAGAGAAGGCATACAAACCGAAATAAATACTCAGGTGAGCCAGTGGCCTGAGGTAGGATCATGTGAGGACTACTGTGGGTCTGGGTGCGCCTTTAGCTCAGTGGTACAGCACCCCTGGGTATAAGAAAATAGGTTCACTGTAAGGGTGCCAGCAGCCTAGCCTGGACAGCCCAGCCTAGCTGGATCTTGTCACATCTCAGAAGCTAAGCAGGGTCGGCCCCTGGTTAGTATTTGGATGGGAGACCTCTGAGGAATACCTTCCAGGGTCATGACCTGGAGCCAGGCAACGGCAAACCACCTCTGCACGTTTCTTGCCTTGGAAACCTTACGGGGTTGCCATGAGTCAGCTGTGACTTGACAGCAGAAAGGGTTGCCATCCTCCCAAGGGGGCGCCTGGAGATCTTCTGCTAGACAGTAGAGGTCAGTGCCCCGAAGAAAACAGTTGCTTTAGTGGATGAGTTGTAGGGCATTGTACTCCGGTGAGGTCCCTCCTCAAACTCCATTCTCCACAGCCTCCCCTCCTAAACTCTCCAGAAATTTCCCAACCCAGAGTTGGCAACCCAGTTCTGGATAATTTGGTGCAGCATCACTACGCCGCTAAGCCTGCAATCACATTTCTTTGATGTATTGTGTCCAGTGTTCCCTCTAAGCTGAGTGAGTGTGATCTAGCTCACAGTTTTTTAGCCTCCAGCTCACACATTTTTGCCTTGGCTCAGGAAGGATGGATCCAGAGCAAACTAATTCATGCAGCAGCCAAATCGCTCGCTCATGACTTTAATGCCAGTAGCTCACAAAGTAGAATTTTTGCTCACAAGACTCCACAGCTTAGAGGGAACATTGATTGTGTCTGATATTTCAAGCTCTGTTTCAGATTTCTGAACCCCAGTCCTATTACGTTGCTTTTCAGTGAGAAAGACAGACAGTAAATAAAGTAAATAAGACGCAGGTTTCATTGTGTGTATGTGCTAACAAAATTTGTGACAGGGTATGCGTTTTCATGAGTCACTGATCACTTCTTCAGCTACAGCTAGAATGTGAGTCCATCTGTCCTTCTAACTGGAGAGCAGAGTGATGTTGTGGTTTCTAATGTCACTCAAAAAGCGGTGAGGGAAGGTTTTAACCTTCTAGGACCTTCAGCTGCTGACCTAAGAGTAGCAGTTCTCTTACAAAGTAATTTCAGAGGGAAATTAGAACAAGAGACTGCTGAATTGCAACTGACAATGAAGCTCAAGATGATGCATCCTCCTGGACTGAATCAAGACCTAGGTTTCCTGTCGCATTACCAAGTGCTGATTTTTCTCCATGCCTACTACCCCCCTCTGCATATCACACCTAATCCAATCATGGCCACTGTTGTCATTCACCTGCAATTGTCATTCAGCATCTGAAACCACTCCAAGGTATAAGGACAGATGGACTCACGTTCCAACTGTATCTGAAGAAGTGAGCAGTGACTCATGAAAGCTTGTCCCCTGCCACATATTTGGTTAGTCTTTAAGGTGCTAGTGGACCCTTTGCTCTTTTCTACTGCTACAGACAGACAAACACAACTACCTATCTTGATCTGCCTTCATGCCTAAACTGTGCCCTGACCTCTGTTTCAGGCCACAAGGATATCTGGAAGAGATCCACCAGAGATCGTAACGAGTCAGCTTCCCATGGAACCCGGGCAGGGGGACAATGGAGAGACCACCTTTCCTGGTAAGGCTGCCGCAGAGCATCCAGGTCCTTGCAACAGGGCGGGTAATTTTGTTTCCTGATTTTCAGGGTGTGATGGCCATCTCTCGTGTTTCCAATCCCACTCTTTTCCCAAGCAGCTCTGGGTGCCACACACAGTTCCCGCCTTCATTCTTACTGCTTTTGATGGTTGTCTCCTGCTCTGTGTTCTTTTAGTTGTGAGTCACATTGAGCAGGTCTGGAGAGGCAGCATACAAAACTCCTGAATAAATAAATAAACCACACTGGCCTTTCCTCACAGAATCCAGAGAAATGTAGATATGTGGTAGAGGAAAGGTGCTCTCTCTCACACTGTGTCTGAGCCCTCACCAAACTACAGCTCCCAGAATTCCTTGAGAGAAACCAGGCCAGTTAAAATGGTACAAAATCAGAGAGTGGGTGGAGCCTGGGAATCTCCTACAACTGCAGCTGAATCTGAAGAAGTGAGCAGTGACTCCTGAAAGCTCCTCCCCTGCCACAGATGTTATTAGTCTTTAAGGTACCACTGGACTCTTGCTCTTTCCTACTGCTACAGACAGACTAACACGGCTACCCATCTTGAGCTGATCTCCAGCCTACAGAGATCATTTTCCTGGGAGAAAATGGCTACTTTAGATGGCATCAGGGGTCATTTCCTGCAGGAGCGCACAGGAGCAGAGCTCCGGCAGTAAAGAGCCCAGGGGGTGGGCACATGCAACAAGCCCCACCCCCTGCTCCCAGCAGCCCTCAGTCAGAGCAAGAAGCAGCCAGGTAAGTTGCAGAGCCCCCCCGGGCCAAAACAGTCCAGTGGCACCTTTAAGAACAAGTTTTCTTCAGGTACAAGCTCTCCCTCCTCTACGAGGACAGATCGCCACGTCCCCCCCCCCAAATAGCTAGCAATCCAGAACAGTCCAGTGGAGCCTGAGCGGTGGGTGTTGCCTTCTGACACACTTCTGGTGATGTCAGGGGGTGTGGCATATGCAAATGAGTTATGCTAATGAGTTATGCTAATGAGCTCCTGCACCTCTTTTTCTACGAAATGACCCCTGGATGGCATCACATCCCCGCTGAGCTCTCTCCCTTCCCCAAACTCCACACTCCCCAGGCTCCACCTCCAAATGTCCAGGAATTTCCCATCCTGGAGTTGGCAGACTCTATGGTTCTTTTCTGAATGTGTAGGCCAGCTCTTAGTTTGCTGTGTGTGTGTTTGGCAGCTTCCTATTTCCTTTGCTCCAATCACGACTGGATTTCCTAATGACTCTGCGTCTTCCAGCAGGTGACTGGCATGTAATTGTAAAAGAGGAAGAGGCGGATCTTCAGCTGGAAGGCCCGAAAGAAGTGGACACCCCCGGAGAATCACGGGATGATGAAGAAAGGAAATTTTTCAAAGTTCCTGAGCGGGAGCAGATACACAAAAAATTGGCTGGGCCCAAAAATTACCAGGAAAACCATCTCTGGAAGACAACAGAACAAACTTTTCTTTGTGAGGGAGCTGGGAAAGGTTTTCACGGAAGGACCTCCGAGGAGGGAGCATGCAGGCGCAAGAGGAAAAGGGCAGGTGCTGATTGTGGGAAAAGTCTCCGCCAGAGTTTGAACCTTCTAGAGTTTCAGCAAATAGACACAGGGGAAAAAACGTACAAATCCCCCGAATGGGGCAAGAGCTTTAAGCTGAAAGTGCATCTGAATATGCGCGGAAGAACACACGCCAGAGGGAGGCCTTCTCTATGGTCAGACTTTGGGAAAAAGTTCCCTCAGCCGTATGACGTTTCTAGGCCTCAGGAAATCCACGCCAAAGTGAATCAGCACACATGCTCTGAGTGCGGGAGGACTTTCAGCAGGCAATCCCACCTCCTCATACATCAGAGGATGCACACTGGAGAAAAACCCTACACATGCTCAGAGTGTGGGAAAAGCTTCAGTTACAGCTCGGTCCTTACAGAACACGAAAGGATCCACACCGGAGAGAAACCCTACGAGTGTTCAGACTGTGGGCAAAGCTTCAGCCGGAGGTCATACCTCATTCAGCATGAGAGAACCCATACGGGAGTGAAGCCCTACGAATGCACTGAGTGCCAGAAATGTTTCACCCGTCGCAGTGGCCTTCTTCGACATCAGAAACTCCACGTGGCCAAGAGCCCGTGCTGATTCCCAGCGTCTTTTTGCAACTGATGGTCACAAGCATGGGAAAACGTCATATGGTTTTATAAATATGATTGACTGTAAACTCTGTATTTAAGCAAAACACTGTTAAGAACAGAAGAACTGCCTCATAGGCTCAGTCCAGAGATCTAGCTTACGTACCTTGTGAAAGGTCTTTTCCTGTATCTTCTTCCTGTTATGGTGTACTATTGAAGAGATGATGCTCATCCTGGGTTCACATGTTGCATCTCCCATGAGTTCACTAGGGGGCGCAAGGATGCCTTTCTCTCTTGGCCCCGCCACAAAGTCTGCAATTTGTGGATAATAATGCTGACTCAGATCTCAAATAGCCAATCAGAAGTCTTGCTGGGCAAAAGTCCCACCCAGCCCCACCCACTTTCTAAAGAAACACTTGGCGGTTGCCGTGGCGCCCACGGGCACCATGTTGGGGACCCCTGCCTTATGCAAATAGTTCTGAGAACAGGTGGGACTGATCTGTTGACTCTTTTGTGCTCTCCCTGTTGCGGCTGCGGTTCCCAACAGAGCTTCCACGTGGGCAGGTTCTCCCAGATTTTCTCTGCCCCAGGCCCCCGGCAGTGGCCATCACAACCCCCCCCTTCTTTACCAGGTCTTTAATCTTCTTAATAAAAAACTGTAACATTATCATTATATCAACAATATCATTATAATAATAATGAGGGCAGCAGTGGTTGAGGTTGAGGACAGCCGTGGTTTCCATCCTAGCTGGCACCCTTTCCCGCTCCTGCTAGTTCTTATATCTGCCTTGCCCTCTTCTCCCCTGCCCGCGAAGTAGCCAGCAGTCTGAAACTGGATAAATTAGCACACACCATCTGATCTGCTTGAAATGTGTTATTAATGTTTTAATTGTTTTAACTTGGTATGTTTTTATGAATGTTGTACATCGCCCAGAGCCGTGCACTAGCAGGGATTGGGCAATCAACAGATTTAATATATAAATAAATATAACAATCTGTGCGCCAGATTCTCCAAATTCCCACCTTTCATTTTTTTAAAAAGTAAATCTCTTGCCAGCTGGGTGTAGTGGTTAAGAGTGGTGGACTCTAATCTGGGAGAACCGGGTTTGATTTCCCCACTCCTCCACATGCAGCTGCTGGTGTGACCTTGGGTCAGTCACAAGTTCTTTCAGAGCTGTTCTCTCAAGAGAGCTCTCTCAGCCCCACCTACCTCACAGGGTGTCTGTTGTGGGGAGGGGAAGGGAAAGGAGATTGTAAACTGCTCTGAGCTTCCTTCGGGTAGTGAAGGGCGGGATATAAATCTAATCTCTTCTTCTTCTCTTCTTCATTGCAGAGATATGTCTTTCCGCTGATAATCTTTGCAGTGAAAATGGCTAGAGAATTACTTTTTGAAAAACAAAAGCTGGAACATAGAGAATCTGATACAGAGAGTTACATCTCTATACGATATAATGAGAGTCACTTGCATAACCCCTCCCCCCCAAGGCCTCCATGTTAAGGGAAGGAAATGGCTTTGGCAAAGTAGGAGGAAATGGCTGCTTTGCAGACAGAACTATGGAAAGACGTAACAAAGGCAGGGAAAACCCCAGGAGTTGCAAGAATGCACCACAGTACTGTGGGGCAGGGGGAAATTAACACTGAACCTGGACCATAACCCATGTGGAAAGGCTGATGCCAAAGAGGCCCAGAAGCTGGAAAACCCCAGCTCCCTTTACTGTGCTTCGCAGGTCCTAAGGAGCCCCATACACACACACACTGCAGGGAATGGGCCTACATCTGGCACTTACACAAGAAACATATTTCTTCAGAAAAAGGAGGGTGGGCAGTACCTGGATAAATGTATAATTTAAATTGTGTGTTCTATGGTACATATTCAGTGCACGTACGATGTTTATTTTATTTTGTTTTACAGAATTTATATCCTGCCCGTCTGTCAGGTTTATGCCAGGAATTTTGAGGGGTAGGGAATAGGGAAGGGGGGCATTGCTTGATACAACAGCATCTGTTCAGGGCGAAGACCTGGAAGCCATGTTGCCGTGTTGAGTGACACTCTAGGAATTTCCCCAATCTCTATGGCAGGGGTGGCCAAACTGCAGCTTGGGAGCTGCATGTGGCTCTTTCACCCAGTCTAACTTAATGTTAATAAAAAGCAAATTTGCATATTTTTCAATAAAAATGTGTGTAATATTTGTTCAACTTGGAGCTGCGGTGGCTCAAGTGGTTAAGACACTGAACTGCAGGCTGTGGAAGGTCAGTAGTTTAGCAGTTCGAGACCCGGGTGCCGCAAGGTGGACTGAGCTCCCGTCTCTAGTTCCAGCTCCTGCCAACCTAGCAGTTCGAAAGCAAGAAATTGCAAGTAGATAAATAGGTACCACTTCGGTGGGAAGGTAACAGCGTTCCGTGCGCCTTGGTGTTTAGTCATGCCGGCCACATGACCACGGAAATGTCTTCGGACAGCGCTGGCTCTTCGGCTTTGAAACGGAGATGAGCACCGCAACCCTAGAGTCGGATTCGACTGGCTTTCGAGCAAGGGAACCTTTACCTTTACTTTAATATTTGTTCATGTCTTACGACTCTCAGACATCTGACGTTTATTCTCTGTGGCTGTTACATTAAGTAAGTTTGGCCACCCCTCCTCTATGGTAAGTACCACTGAGATTGGGAGAATTCCTAGAGCGTCACTTGACATGGTGATGTCCCATTGAGTGATACCATCTCTCTCTCCATTTTTGCTCTTGCTGCTGCATTGAGTGGTGATAGGAGTGCAGGGACAGGAGGGCAACCTGGCTATCCTAACCTACAAAGAAAAATCATATGTACACTGCACACACACACACACACAAGCTGCATATAGTCCCAGTCTATAACAGAGATGGGACATATGCGTGTACACTTCCTCATCCGGTTAACAACATTATCAGCTAACAAAAATTAGGTTTACAAAATTGGGCATGGAATAGAGAAGTCATTTTCTCCCTTTCTCACAAGATAAGAAGTAGTGGGCACTCAATAAAATTAATGAGCAATAAGATTAGAACAGGTCAAAGGAAGTACTTCTTCACCCAAAGAGTAATTAACACGTGGAATTCACTGCCACAGGAAGTGGTGGCGGCTACAAGCATAGGCCACCAAGAGGGGACTGGATAAACATCTGGAGCAGAGGTCCATGAGTGGCTATTAGCCACAAGGTATAGATGGGACACTCTGCCTGGGGAAGTGATGCTCTGTCTTCTTGGTACTTGGGGGGCAACAGTGGGAGGGCTGCTGGAGTCCTGGCCCCACTGGTGGACCTCCTGAGGGCACCCGGGTTTTGGTCACTGTGTGACACAGAGTGTTGGACTGGATGAGTCATTGGCCTGATCCAACATGGCTTCTCTTATGTTCTTAATCACATGTCCCATTAACAGAGGTATGGAAGTGGGCAGCTGAAGCTTTTCCTGGCCTGGAGGTAAACAAACCTCCCATGAAGCTCTATAAGACCTTTTCTACACTGCTTATTCATTTTTGGAGCCATGGATTCTCCATCTTTCCCTGCCATCACCTTGATACCCGGCCTTCTGTTGTGATGGTTGCCCATAGTAACGAGGCCTGCAGCGTTCTGGAAGCCTCCAAGCCTTGACAGTTTCCTCTTTGGCTGAGCTCCGGGGCTGTTGTGAGCATCCTCTCACTCTGCACGTGGACTACCTTGCAAAGCATCAAGTTCAAGAGAACTCGGTTCCTAACGAAAGTTACCCCGTCTCTGCTCAGTGAATCTCTGTCCAGCAGGTTGCTGATCCCCACGGCCAGCCCACCCCAGCAGCAGCCCCTGTGCCTTTTGACAGCCGCAAGACAGAGAGAACTTCATCTGGTGAAGAGGGCTGCCGCCTACTTGTAATTATAATACTTAGTACTACAGACATATTTTCTCTGTCATGGGCCGGAAAACGTGCGCGGGGGGGGGGAGTGCGGCTATTTGCGCCGTCGCAGTCTGATGCGCTATTATGTGATCAGACACAATGGCAGCTTCCCCGCAGCAAAGAGGACGACGGGTTTGTGGAGAGGAGGGACCTTCACAGGGTACAGCGCCATGGAGTCCACCCTCCAAACAGGCCATTTTCTCCAGGGGAACTGATCTCTGAAGTCTGGAGATAAGTTGTAATTCCAGGAATCGCCAGACCCCACCTAGAGGTTGGCAACCCGAGGGGCAGCACACATCAGTCTGCCCTCTTCCATTTTAGTTTCACAACAACCCTGCGGGGGTAGGGCAGGCTGAGAAAGGGAAGTGCTGTGGCTTGGTACTAGAGCCTCTGTTTGGCGCACAGAAGGGCCCCAGGTTCAGTCCCCAGCATCTCCAGTTAAAAGGATCGTGTTCAGGTTAGTGTAGTGATGCAGACTGACTGGACCAAGGTTGCCCAGTGAGGCTCACACAGAGAGAGAACTTGAACCTGGGACTCCTACATCCTAGCCTGACACTGTATATGCTGCATATATGTCGTTGGGGTTGTTCAGTTTACATATCATGGGTAGCAGTGAGGCACCTTAAAAAACTCTGCTCCTCAGAGGCCTTGGCTTTACAGTGAGAAAAGACCAACTCGTCCAAATGATACCTGCTTCATTAAGTGCAGGAAGATTAGAGACCATCCCCTTGTTTAATCCATTCAGAAACGGCAGACGCTTGCTTTGGGAGTCTTTGGCAGGCAGGCAGCCCATTTTCGGAGTTTTTTCATGGATCACAACAGCTCTCTGTGCCTCCAAGCAAGCTGCAATCTGGCTTTGCCTTTTGGAAAGGGCGGTTTGTTCTTCCACCCTGGAAAAGACAGCATCGGATAATATAACAGCAATGATCTTACAAGGGCCTTGTCCATTTGCTTTTGTTCTTCCCCCTCACTTTTTTGTTGTTCAGTCGCACAAATTCCACGTATTAATCACTCTGTGTAAAGTAGTATTTCCTTTTGCTTGTCCTGAACCTACTGCCCACCAGCTCCATTGGGTGCCTTTGAGTTCTAATCCGCTTTGAAAGCTGTTTATTCCTGTGGCCACCACGACATTCCCTGGCAGCGAATTCTGCATTTTAATCACATTTTGATCATATTCCACATGTTGGTTGGATTGTTTCCAGTTCCAGTGCTTTTTGTGTGTGGGGGTGTGCGTGTGTAAACAAACATAAACAACAGCAACGCAAATGGTGTCAGCATTCATCTATAAGGTTGTACCGATTTCCACCGGTCCCCTCAGGACCTGGAAGAGCCCCGAAAAAAGGTGCTGGTACCCAGGGTTGTCAGCCACCAGGCAGTGACTGAGGATCTCCTGGAATGACAACTGATCTCCAGGCTACAGAAATCAATTCTCCTGGAGAAAAGGACTGCTTTGAAAGGTGGACTTGATGCTGAGGCTCCTCCCCTTCCCAAACTCTGCTCTCCCCAGGCTCCACCCCCCCAATCTTCGGGAATTTCCCGACCTAGAGCTGGCAACCCTATGTACTTGCAGGGGTCATTTCCTGCAGGAGCGCACAGGAGCGGAGCTCCGGCAGTAAAGAGCCCAGGGGGCGGGCACATGCAACAAGCCCCACCCCCTGCTCCCAGCAGCCCTCAGTCAGAGCAAGAAGCAGCCAGGTAAGTTGCAGAACTCCCCCTGCACCCCCCCAGTCCAAAACAGTCCAGTGGCACCTTTAAGAC